ACACAAATTTCTTTCCAGTTAATGATTAAGCATTGTATTGTTGTTTACTGACATTAATCAGCCAATACATTGTATTTGTGGTTTTAACATTAAAAAAATATGTGATAAATATTGAGGGTTCTGGAATACTTTTGCAATTTACCATTTCAAATACTTTACTTCTTTAATGGGTTTCTCAGTACTTTAGGGTTTTAAGGATGGTATTGCAGTGATTTTAATAAATAAAACCCTGCAGGGCCTTATGGAGCTTTATAATAGGGATTAATAACACATATGAACCAGCTAACATTTCCAGAGTTGCATGCTTTATATCTAAGAATAGAAAAATCTGTCTTCTCCACAGTTGAGAAACTAGGCGTATTTTGCAATAATCCACCCCTCTGAGTCCATTATCCACACGGGCCAACAAATTTAGATTTCACCCACCAGGACCTCCCCCATCCATCTGTCAGTGTGCTCTTCTCCCAGCCGAGTTGGGGATGTGTGAATGCCACACTCCATCAAGCATGTCAGCTTGTAGATTACACCACAGACATCGCCACAAGACTTCTCCGTTACCTCTACATCTAATGCCAAAATTAGCTAAACACAGCAGAAGTGGGACTGTTCTCTGTCTGCACTTATTTTTCTGGCAATCGTTTAACTTACACTCAAAGCATGGGAGGGTTGGCAATAATTCGGTAACTAATAGTTCGTGTGTGTCAATTCATTTTCTTTGAAAGTTTTAATTTTCTCATGGTATCATATCAAAATTAAATTTATGATTTAGGATTTAATGCTATTAACCAACATGAAGTACAGCCTGATTGTAAATTGGAAGGAAAATTATTCATTTTGTAAATTTCTGATACCCTTTCATAGAATTCAGTGCAAACTTAAGGGGTTTACTGATTTACTAAATATAGTTAAATTTTTGCAGTCTAATGCAAACATCTGTTCTACAGTAGTTGGGCCTAAAAAGAGATCTTTAATGTCGAAACCGTACCATGAAAACCAGTGGAAGAATCTGCATGAGAAAGCTATGTCTTTTTTTTTCACAAATTTGGTTTTATTTAAGAAATATGAAAAAGATGCCATCAAAAAAATAAAATAAGATCCATATAAGGTTCAACCTTAAGTTGGACAGCCATTCACCAAATTAGGACCAAATTAGGAAACTTTGGCTGAGATACTGTTTTCTTCATGGAACTCATGCTAGGGGGCTGAATACATGTGTATGCATCACACTTCATTTTATTAATGAAAACATTGCAAACTGTTAGTTTTTTTATTTTTATTATCACAATTATTTATATGTATTTTTTGTGCTTCTTTATTAAATGCCCCTAAAAACATTGAATTATGTAGTTTAACCATCCTAAAATGTCTCTTTGCTATCAGGGCAAAGATTAATCAAACCCGAGCAGTGGGTAAAATATTTGCCTAAAAAGTTGAATAATATAGTGTTGTTATTTACTCATTTATTGTCTGTCTTTTTCCAACCTTTATGAGATATTTTAGTCTGTGGCTCAATTACAGGGACTCCAGTTTACTGTGATTTATTGAACAAGCAGGCACTGACTCAAGGTTACACAGTGAAGTTATACCCCGTGTCACTGAGTGAATACAAGGACAGTCTATTTAATATCTTTACAGCAGTCAAGTAAAGGCAACCTAGGCTACAATCAAGACCTGTTTTTAAGGTTTATAGCCTCTAAAGTGCTTCACTTGATCTTTAAAAAAATTCTTTAATTAGCTGCACAACTTTTTTTTGTTTCGCAGACACGAGGCTTTGCATTCGCAAAAGACTCGTAGAAAATGACATTGAACAAGGTTGACAGCAACACTCAGGAAAAAAGAGACTGAGAGAGGGTCCTTTGAGGAAATTCCTTTGGTTAAACCTAAGTGTTATGCAGAAACTGTCTCTTAGGAGATGTACCTTGTCGCAACTAATGTCCTAACAAAATTTATTTTATAGAGATACACTTGAAGAATAATAAGGCAAAAAAGCTTTTAAGATTGGTCTAGATGTGACTGGCTGCTTATGCTTGATATTTGTTTTTATAATGGTGGTCCATGTTAAGCACATTAAAGATAACACATATTTAAGGGAATATACAGTGAGAAAAATACCTGTATATTTCATCATATTATGAATAGTACCTGTATCTCTACTAATCCAGTGTCTTGTATGAGTTACTGCTCTTATCCGGTTGTTAAACAGCCTTTGTCTCTGTCTGTGCTTCAGTAGGCTGCTAGGCAACAAATCCCTGATCATCTCCTGGACTGGTGGTCATAGAGCTTTAAGATATATTTCATTATCACTCAGCTGTATAGGTATATGTTGGGATATTTTGTAAGATATTGGTGGGATTAAAGGATTTAAGAACCCCTTAACCTGTGGGATTATTAGATGACGTTGGTTTACAATAATTAAAATGAAAATATTCCCATATTGTCACTGGCCTGACTGACTTACAGAGAGCCACTCAAACTCTCTGGTCTTATACAGACTGGACCAATCACAGCGCAGAAAATCACACTTGCACCAGAATGAACAATAGTATGGAGTGATGTTTCAATAATGTCCTATACTCATTTGTGTTCAGGATGAGGTGGATTCAACTGATTGCTTTGAGAGTTTTTCTTATTAAGAAAAAAAAAAAGCTTTTGTGTCACAAATGCAGTTACCTGTTTAAGTTATTTTTACTGACCCTGTTACTACTGCCCTGGTCCGGCCTTTGAAGTTGACCTACCTGCTCCTCTCCAGACTTACACTGTGTATGTGGCGTCAGTCAGCCTGGCTGGCCACGCTTTACTGACAGCTAAATCCTCTGCCAAGTCTGTGAGCATGTTGTAATGACCTTTAACTCCAGTCTCATAGAATTTGACTGTACTGTATCTGTTTAACAAAATGCATTTTTACCCATTACTCTTTGCCAAATCTTTTCATCCCTGGGAGACTATTTAATAAACATTTAAATTTGCTCTGCAACATATAATTAGTATAGAAAATAATTGATTCTATTGTGGGAATGGCTAAAGTAAAGATTAATTGTTTTTGCTGGAGGTTTATCCTTTAGCAACAGTCCCAAGGCTTTTTTTTTTTGCTTCTAAAAGACTTTGTTCTAGAAATGTCTATCTTTTAGTCCATTAACTTTGAGCAGTTTCTCCAAGAGTATAGTACTGGAGGGATGGTGCAATGCCATTTTTACAATCAGTGCTGGAAATTATATTAGTTCAGAGTTTTATTAAATCTATTCACCTTAGATTTAGGTTTTCCTGCTACCATTGTTAAGATTAGGTTCAGCTTTGATGGGAGGGGATGAACTTATACTTAAATATTTAGTTAGTTTAGTCAAATAAATCTACTGATGTGGACTTTATTTTGTGTTTAATGGAAGTTCACTGGCAAACACATATACAATCAAATAACTAAACAACAGTGTTCAGAAGCGTGATGCTGCTGGATGGTGTGTTCTTGGTGATATTACAGTGTTTTTTTTTTCTCATCTCATCTGGAATCCTCATTCCATTTTTTGTGAGCCCTTTATGATTGTGGCCAACTGCAAACAGTACTAAACCTGGTATTCTTGCCTCTTTTGTAAAGGCCAGAGTGTCAGGGTTAGTTGAGGTATGAGGACCCAAACGCAGAGTCAGAGAGGCTGAGGAGATTTCTGGGAGTTTTAATGGGGCAAAAACAGTAAACAAAGGCAGGAATCCAAAAATCCAACTAATAATGAAAAGCAAACCAGAACTGAGGAGACATCTGGGGAAAACCAAACACGAGGAGCCAGGGAGAGACGAGGAACATAGACCACAGCATGGGAAGACAGCAAAGACAAGGAACCAACAAAGAGTGAGAGCAGAGGGAGAGCACATATAGCAGCGAGAGA